GTTTGATTTATAATTATTTGAATAATAATGAAAATAATATTTCTAATAATTAATTTTTATTGAACAGATTTTTCATATAATAATCACCAAAGATTGACAAAGCGACTCGTTCACAGTTGAAGTATAAACGATCTAGAACATGGTCGTGGAGAAAAATAAAAATTCTACATTTTCTGCGGATTCGATAATGCGAGGGATGATTCGATGATGTGATCATCTATTACATATTTTTCATTCGAAGGCTACCCTCTTTCAATTATTCAAATGTCAACTGAACGTGAAAAGTTATGCCATATTATGACGGTTGAATTGTTTTTAAAAATCAGTTAATTGAAATAATAAAATTTGAATTAGTCTATTAGAAAAGTTCATTAATTTCTCAAGCTCAAGATCGATCAGAAAAATTCAACTTAAAAAAAAATAAGTTAATTCAATTTTTTAAAACATAATTTACCGTCGAGTGCATTAAAAATTCCAATAAAACATAAAACAAAATATTTTTCCGTACTGACCTTCACTTTTCCTCGTCCGGAGATTGGTACTAACCCTTCGCCAAACTCGTAAAAGTGAAAATCACTCCGAAAAAAGATCTTTCACGACTAGTGCGATGGGGTTTTTACTGGTCAACCACGCGAGTAAAAACCCCCGGGCACTCGCCCTGAAATATGCGATTCCGAGAACAAAAAAGAGGGAAAATAAAACAAATAAAAATAAACAAACAAAAATTTATCTTACAATGTTTTCATTTATTCATCAAAGTAATTATTGAATAATTTACACATTACAAATCTTCATACAATCATTCATTCTCACACACTCAAGAACTTAATTACGTGCCAAAAACGGCAAAGATTAAACAATTCATCAAACGGAGAGAGGTTAAACAGAAGATGCAAAACATGAGTACATTTAATATCTGTGTATTTCATCGCACATAAAAATTGTTATGAACATTTTATCATATGGATTTGCCAGAGCGAAAAAAAATCAAAAACATTTTGTATCGATAGGAATCGATGAAACAGGAAGCTACTGAAAGTTTGAAATTTAATTTCTACATTTATCAATGACGATATACTATAAAAGTTTCGATAGCGGTTCCGCAGACCGCCAGTTCGGCGTAAAGGTTATACCGTTGAATTCCTGCGTCCGGAGTCCGGAGGACTCTAGCGAATCGGGCGATCAGCGTTCTCAGCCCACTGATTATTGTTACCGGCAGCCCTCGTCTGAGGCTGGTCAGGCCTCACCTCCCGGGGGACAGGACGACCTTTCCCAAGATGTTTGGTGTAATCGAACCTCTTGCGGACGACGCTGCAGTAGTCCCAGAGCAGTCTGAATGCGTAGTTGTGCTCCAGCTCCCCCAGACAGAAGTTCTCCGCCATCTGCTCCCGGCTGGGCTCAGAGTTCTGGTGGAATCTGTGCCTCCTCTCGTCACTCGGCCTCTCAGAACGCGGCCGAAACTCAGGTGCGGCGAGCCAGTGACGCGTGTAGTCATTGTTGTTGAACATCTCCGCAGAGTCACCAGACATCGGCGACGGAAAAGACCCACTGGAGCCAGCAGAAATCTGTGGCTCTTCGGGGTTGTTCTGAGATCTAGCCAGACCAGCACTCATTTTGTGGCAAGACCTCGACTTAAAATCCTGAACGGCGTCCGCGTATGTCTTGCGATGTTTGACTTTGGCGAATTGCCTCGACAAAAAAACACTGTCCGAATAACTGCTGAACCCAACGACAACTTGACTTCTCTTTCTTCGTTTGCACGAGTGGTACGAGAGGTTCTCACAACTGGTCTCGAGGAGAGTTGGAAGATTTGTGAATGAAAATTCGCCCGGACGAGTGTCTTTTAAGACGTCCGGGAGGACCTCAATGGGACTCACGAAACCGTTCGGGGGTACGTGGGGAGTGGGGGGTGGGAGCGCCAGGTCGTAGATTGGCTGGGTGTCGCCGGGGGCGGACTGGCCCCAGGTGCTTGCCAATGCGGAACCAGGCGTCAGCGACAGCTCTCTGGGACTCACGGGGGGGGCCTTCCGGAAAATCTGGTGGCTCGGGGGGCACTCGCAGAACTGGGCGATACGCAAATATTGGGCATTACTCGGGGCTTTTCCAGATAATGTATGCTAAGGAGAAATATTTGCGTAATTAATGTGGACGTTGGGAGGGGATGTTTACTTGGCTGATTGGGACACAAATGAGGGAGATAATTAAGCTTATCTGGGGGTCACTGACGGGTGGTGGTGGTGGGACGTGGATATACTGATTAGTGAGGCATTTGGGGGCTGATTGTTATCTTTAATTTAGCGTTATTGGGATTTTTTTTGTTGAGAATTTTTGAATTTGTTGTTTTACGTTGTGAAATGTTTTTTATGATACATGTGGTAAAAACAATCAGATTCTGCATAAGAAAAATTGCAAAGAATTCTGTGAAAATTGCATTCTGGCATATATAAATTTTTTAAACCTCAGAAACTCCATTTTTTGTATGAGGTCGATATCTATTGGAATGTCAAACATGACTGCATCAGTTACGATAAAAAAAAAGATTTTTACGGTGGAAAATTCTCAAATTTTTTCATGAATGTTTTTCAGATTTTAAAAATGCTCTCTGAGGGTTCAAAATGAAAAATAAAGTGTTCAGACCTTCAACGGTTATCAGCAAAATCATTGAATAAACAATTCCATTGATATTTTTCCGTCATTCAATTGAAAAATTACCCAGTTTTAAATCTAGAATAATGAATAAAATTACTCAAGAATCGATGACAGCATAATGAATGGAAAATTGGTCGTTTGAAATATTGAATTATCGAAAATATTAGATCATCATTTTCATCACGCTGTGACGAATAGTGAACTTTTCGGCACGCTCCGCGTGGCTAAAAGTCCAATTTCCGCCACATTGTGATGAAAAATATTGTTCGTAACTCGTGAAAAAATGTTTTTTAGCTCGTGGGATTATATCACTCGCCTTCGGCTCGTGATAGAAACCTCCCACTCGCCAAAAAACACTTTTTTGCACTCGTTACGAAATATACTATTTTCTATGCAACTTGTTTTATTCCAATATTTCCCATGGAATTTTCTCAATAAAATCTATTGACTTTCTTCACACCCGGCCCCCTTCTTCCCACATGATTCATCAAAAGCCGACTCCAGACTCATGATTTTCCATCCAGAATTGCTGATTATAGAATTAAATATCCAGACAACTTTTCAGCGAAAACATCAACACAAATGTGTACATTTAAAACCCCTAGCAAATTTAAATACCCCCAATATTTCAAAACTCCAGCCGAAGCAAATTAAAATTCTCCGAAGACAAAATACCCACCTTTAGAATTGCATGCACGTGGAAATCCCGCTAGTTTCAAATCTCCATAAAAAGAAAGAGATGGTGTAAAACCCAGGTTGGTAAAGGTACTCCAGGCAAAGGGGGTCGTTTAAAGGGCTTTAATCCCCAAGCCCAGGAGTACCCACAGCCATAATAACATTCGACTACATTCTCCCTCTCAATTTTCGAAATTTTCGGAAAAATATAACGTGGAAAAATCCACGGAGACCTGCGCTTTGTTTTCCGTCCCCAATGACTTTATCCCTAAATTTATTAGGTGGCCTAGGGTGGCCTCATAAGTCACGGCGCTTACCTGGAAGCAACGAACGTGGGGCCCTTGTGGCTGGATCAGGTGGATCTGCGAGGTGACGAGACGACGCCATGAGTATGTGTGACCCTCAGGCTGATGAAATGTCACACAATTCAATTGAATTAATCGCCGGGAGGGTGAGGACGTACTCGACTGGTGGAAACAAAAATTCTGATGACGTTTTGCGTATTAAATCTGTTTGTTTGACCTCTCATGCATTTTATGGGTCTTCAGAGTCATCACAGTTCGATCAACATTATTTAATTGCTGTCGCATACTTTTTTGAAGATTTTTAAAAATTCGATCTTTTTTTTGATATTTATTTATTGTATTCTATTAAAACAAAAATTCATCTCTATTGGTATTTTTTGCAATAGTTTTGTATTTAATTAAAATAATTCAATTGAATTAATTAGGGGGGGGGGGGGAGGGAAGTACTCGACTGGTGGAGAACAAAATTCTTCTGATTATTATGCGTATAAAGTGGGTTTATTTGACCTCTCACGCATTTTGTGGGCCTTCACATTACAATTGGATAATCATTTTTTAATTACTGACAGATTTTGTAAAATTTACGAAAATTCTTTTTATTTTATTTTTTTATTTTTTCAAAAGATGAAAAAGCTGTTTTAAATTGGACTTGGGACAACTAAGCCTCAAACATTTCAATCTTTTCAGCTTTAAGAGTAAATTTTACTTTTTCGATATTTGAAATCTTAAAAAAAAATAGGTAACTGGATTGACGAAGAACGCGTCATAGATGGAGCATTGGAGGCAAATGTAGCCATCTTCCCCGGCGTCAACCCTCACCAATAACTGCAAGAGTAATTGTCTTACAGTGCATCCGGCATTTAATAATCTTCCAGGAATTATTCTTTGAAAATTGGCTGAACCCTTATGACGTTATACCTGCGCGAAAAAGGGGTGGGAATGACCCGGGGGGGGGGGG